TGTTTAAGATTGTCTCAGGAGGTATTAATTGAAATTGATCATACTGTTTTTATAAGTCACTTCTTGATGACCTGTAAGAAAGGTTTGTGAATTTGTTAGCTTTACCATCTCAAAAATTTCTAATATGCATTTAATCTTAAGTGTGAATTAGATACATTTTCTAAAGAACATGGACTTAACAAAATCCTGGAATATCCCTAATTATTAAATACAAACTTAATTTGTTTGCAAATATAGACAGTAAAACATACCTATGTTATCCCTATATGCTTTACTTTTAATCCCGGCTTTGGAATGGGAGGACAGATGTACAGATCTGTTCTTTAATATTTCATTCCCACCCCATCTTTTCAATGTTAGCATCTAAGTTGGCAATCTAATTGCCCTCTGTGTGAAACATCAGAATTTTCATGAAAATTATTTTCACCAATCCCTAAATCCACAAAAATCAAGTGAAAGTATTCTCTTAAGACTAATTATTGTTTTTCCTTCTCCTTTTCTATGTACTCACAAATATGTATATTCCCAATTTTCTAATATATGAACTTTTTCTTTGTTTTTGAACAAAGTAGTCACTAAATTACTTTGGATTTTCATTTTTTATTTTACTCAATTCTTTTGCATTCTATTTCTGATCTTTCTCCAAGGCAGTTAGATTACTACGGCCAAATCAATCTCCATTTTAAAAGAATTCTATGAAACAGATTAACAAAAAGATAATTTACTCAGTGACTTTCATGATTATGGGAGGCAGGAAATATGATGGATACTATATCACAGAGATTCCCATTAAGTATTTTACTGTAGGTGCAGCTAAGAAACCCAAGAGATGCTTGGTTATAATTTTGAATGAAAGTTTATTTTACTTTAAATTAAAAGCAGCTATGGGGAGGGGATTCATTTGTGATAATACAGTACTGTACCTATATGTTTAACCTCAAGGCCAAAATAAATATATACTCCCATTTTTCAGTGTCATGGCTATAGTTCAATTTGATTAATCCCTACTCCTAGCATCTGTGTAGCTGTTTTACTTCCTGCTTACAAGTCTGGCTCTTCCACTAATTCATAATTTCTTTGGTATTCTTCTGACCATTTTTAAATGAAGTTGAAATTGCACAAAAGTCAATTCTCATTCCTGCTATTTAAAATGTTATTTTATTTTTTGTTTGCTCACAAAGACAATTTCTATTTCCTTGATGGTGCACTTGATGCTTTGCTCTGTGGGAACAGCTCTGATGCTGGGTAAGTGAGGTCTCTCTCAATGGTTGAATCTTTTTTGGAGTGAGGAGGGGACTTCATGCCTGAGAAAAGAATATTAGATACAGTTTGGTGCAGTGAAAAGGTACTGGCCTAGAAATCAGGAGAATGTAAGTTCAAAGCCTCACTTAGGCGTGAAAGCCAGATGAGTAACTCTGGGCCAGTCATTCTCTCTCGGCCCAACTTTCCTCATAGGATTGTTTCTCTGAGGAAAAGAGAAGGCAGGAGCATTAGGAATGTTCACTGCCCTGAGTTATATATAAAAAGGTGGAATAAAAACTAGTACTAATGATAATTGCTCCTAGTAACTTTCTAATTTCTGTGTGTATGTATATATGTATGCGTGTGTGTATGTATATGTATATATATATGTGTGTGTGTGTGTGAAGTTTTCGTGGGTACTTACATGTATGGTATTCAGCTTTGTTCGGGTATTTTCCCACGTCATTGTAGTTGTGCTTTTAAAGTTGTAGCAAGGTTTTGGCAGAATCTTATCTGCCATCATCAAGAAGCCTGATGATGGCAGATGAGATTCTGCTGAAACGTTGCTACAACTTTAAAAGCACAACTACAATGACGTGGGAAAATACCCGAACAAAGCTGAATGCCATACATGTAAGTACCCGCGAAAACTTAAGAAAAAATATATATATATATATATATGGAAAAAAAAGATCTGAAAGCATGAATAGAAGAGATGACTCCAACAGACTGTCAATTTTTTGGAAGCCTGCACTCACAAACAAAAAAAATCTTCACACCACAAGCCAGGCAAACACCTGGGCACAAACAGACCCCACTCTCCCCCGATATCTCCAGCTCAAACACATCCCAACCAGGCACCCAGATGAAACCTAGCTTCCTAATAAATGATAGCTGTCCATTTACTCGGAGCCAAGCCGCACTAAAAACCTCCAATACAGGAAATACAATGTTGCCAGCCAATCAAGACAAAAAAAAAAAAGCTACAAAAAAGACAGAAGATATTAGAAACACAAATCAAGCAGAACACAGCAAACTCCAAGACCAATAAATACAGACCAAGACTCCCAACCAATCATGATGAAGAAAAAACCATTCTGGCACAGCAGTAGGCTAGCACCAAATTTAAAACAGAAACGGCTGTGAAAGTCTGACTCACAGACGAACACTATACAGAAGCCTGATGATGGCAGATGAGATTCTGCCGAAACGTTGCTACAACTTTAAAAGCACAACTATAATGACGTGGGAAAATACCCGAAGAAAGCTGAATACCATAAATACATACACACACACACACATACATATACATATATACATGGAATTCCTGGTTTCCCAAGAATCCATAAAACTGAAAGAACATATTGTAAAAATAATTTCAAACAAAAGAAATTAATTGCCAGGAAAAGCTACCTACAATATGATAATTGTCAGGTCATTGTACAATATCAGAAGACAGAAATATGTAATAAGATGTCTAATCTATAACTTGGGACAAGAGTGATTATGGTAACTATCTAGATTATGCCTTAGATTTAGGAAGAAATTGCTTCTCTTATAATACGACGTTATATTGGAATTTTTGTATAATCTACTGTAGACAATGCCCAGAAGGATTTGTCTGCATGAAAGCTGGCCGAAACCCAAATTATGGCTATACAAGTTATGACACCTTCAGCTGGGCCTTCCTTTCACTCTTTCGCCTCATGACCCAGGACTATTGGGAAAATCTCTTCCAATTGGTAAGTTTATATAATGTTACTTTTAAATTTTTCCCCTTTATTTATTCCCCTGCATTTTTGCCAGTGTTTATGAAAGTTTTTAATCATGTGCTGAGATTGCCTTTATTGCACCAGATAGAATAAACCCCAACTAGAGAAGAGACTGAAGACATTGGTCCAGATATTCTGAGTTTTAATTTTTTCTAAACAAATATGCGATGCATGCAGGTGGAAGGGTGGAAAGACTTCTTCCTCCAGTGCTATTTTTCCAGTTAAAATTTATCCCACATGAACTTGTATGTGGATTCCTCTTAATTTTCCTTAATACAAGAAATAATGGGATCCAGGTAAGGAAAACAGGGTGCAAGAACCCAGCATCAGTCCAGATTCCTCTCCTTTGATTGTTTTACAAAAAGATGAAGAGGTAGGAATTCCACTGACAGAGAAGCATGTAAGGATCCAGTGGAGTCAATTCAGTTTTACTCTGCTTCTTTTCCATAATGACCACCAACTATCACTTTATTTAGTTTGATCCTAAGCCTGAGAATTATATTTCAAATGCCAAGCAATATGTAAAGTATAGCACATAGACTTTGAATATCTTCAAAGGATCATACATTGCTTAGGCTAATTACTAACTAGAACGGCTATTTATGAGAATAGAATTCTGGGTTTCCAGGTATCAAGGAAGATGAAATTCTTTTTTTTCTCTAGACTTTGCGAGCAGCTGGGAAAACATACATGATTTTTTTTGTTGTGATCATATTCTTGGGCTCTTTCTATCTCATCAATTTAATCCTGGCTGTGGTGGCAATGGCCTACGCAGAACAGAATGATGCCACCTTACAGGAAGAAAAAGAAAAAGAAGAAGAGTTCCAGCAGATGGTGGAACAGCTGAAAAAGCATCAGGAGGAGCAACAAAGACTGGTCAGTTTGTTTTTTTCTTTATGTCTATTTATTTTAATTTATCCATTTCTAGAAGGTTTAAGTATATATAGTTCTTCTTCCCCAAGGATTCAAGACAACCTTGATAGTTTGACTTCGTTTTGGATGTCAGGGAGAGGACACTTCTATACAAAAGGTTTGCACTAACTCTGGATCAGCTTAGGCCTTAGGATCAGGGATAAGTTTGAAGAACTTCTCTTTAGCCTTAGGTAGATCCCTGTAGATCCCTTATCCTACTAAACCTGGAAGGCCAAGCTATTGTATATAAACAGGCAGCCAATCCCACACTCACTTGCTCAAGAATTCCAAGGATTCCATAGGGTTTACTGGTATTTCTAACCAAATTGTAATCCAACCAATTATTAGTTGAATATTCCATTTTTAAAAGTAATTTAATCACTTCTGTTGGCTTGAACAAATTCTTGTGTATGTGTGTGTAGTTTTATTGAACTATTATTTGATATACTGTGGATTGATTAATTTTAAAAAGAAGAGTCAGTGCTACTGGAATTCTTAATTATCTTTTTACATTATTATTATTTGCTTTGCTGATTATTTTGAGTCATTATAGCAATAGCAGACTGAGTATCAGCAACTCGTGGCTCCAGAGTTGCATGCAGCTCTTTCATCCCCCTATTGTGGCTATCTGTTGGGTGATCCCACCACTGGCTGGCTACGCCCCTTCCCAGTTATTCCTCGCCTGGCCTGAGAATGTAAGGGTGATGGTGGGGAAGCAGCTGGGGCTGATTCTCTGGCACCTCAGCTCTTGCTGGTGCTTCTTCTGGCGCTTGTTGGTGCTGGGTGTGGCTCAGTCGCTTGGGGAGACTTGCAACCTGCTCTCTCTCAGACACTGGCCTGACATGGTTGCAACTGATGCTAACACAAGGGCTGGCAGGGTGGGAATGGGATCCGAGAAGAGGGACGACAGAAAGGGGGATGGACCCTCAGTGTCCAGCCGTGACTTTAAGAAAGTCGAGGTAATGGGGAAAGGAGGCTGGCCCAGCTGAACCTAGCATGCCCATCCCAGCTGCTTGTTTGAGGAGGGTCTCCCCACTTGTGCATGCCCTCGCAGCCCTACCACAACCGGCCATGGAATCACGAGAGGAAAAGGAGTGGGAAGAGGAGGAAAATCATCTTTGGAGAGCCCTCCACAGTGGTTTGCAGTCGTTCCTCAGCCAGCCTGGATTTCCAAAAAATTGCCAAGAAGAAAGAAAGGAGTAGTGAAGAGCCCCAAGGAGAATTTGCCAGGTTGGTCCAGCCTTAGCTTTCCAAGAGAGAGAGAAGAAACACAGAGAAAGAGAGAGAGAGAGAGAGAGAGACAGAGAGAGAGAGAGACAGAGAGAGAGAGAGAGAGACAGAGAGAGAGAAATACAGACACACACAGAGAGAGATACAAAGACACACACACACAGTCATAGATATACACACACACACACATACACAGATACAGAGAGAAGGGGGAGATAGAGGGGGAGAGGGATATATGTGTGTGTGTGTGTGTGTGTGTGTAGGTCTAGGTGTGTTCGGGTCTTTTCCCTTGTAAGATTAAGAGTATCTTGGAGACGTTCCGGTGAGGTCCCACTAGCCATCCTCAGGCTGATGCTTTCAGCTTCGTGCCAGTGCAAGCAGTGTGTGATCGGAGCTGCCGTCTCTCTATAAATACTGGTGGTGGGGGTTGGTGTGCTGGGCTGGTTAGCTGCGCTTCTGCCTCTTGATTGGTTGATGGAGTTGATGTTGGTATAATGGGCTGTGTGATGGCCTTGTGAGTTTTGTTGTGGAGATATCCTGGATCTTGTGCTGTAATCTCCTGGGTCGTTTGTTTTGTAGTGATCTTTTTTCCATTAGCCTCTCGTGTTTTAACGGCTTGGGTAATGGATTGTGTGATGGGCTTGCGAGTTCTTTTGTTGTGGTATCCTGGCTCCTGGGTTGTAATCTCCTGGGTCGTTTGTGTTTTGATCTCTTTTCCATTAGCCTCCTGTGTAGTAACGGCTTGGGTAATGGGTTGTGTGATGACCTTGTGAGACTTATTGCTGTGGTATCCTTGGTCTTGTGCTGTGATATCCTGGGTCATTTGCTGTGTTGCAACTTCTTGAGTTCTTGTGGTGTAATTTCCTGAGTTTTCTGATGTGATATCCTGAGCAGGTGGCTGTGATGTAGCATTCTGGGTTTTAGTCTGGCTTCGGGTTTGGGGTCTGGGTCTGTGTTCTTGGCATGTGTCAGCTTGTTTGGTTTTGGGGTCAGGGGATGCGACAGCTGGGAAGAGCACCAGCCTGAGGATGGCCAGTGGTACCTCGCCGAAACGTCACCAAGATAGTCTTAATCTTACACGGGAAAAGAGCCAAACACACCTAGACCTACATAACTGCACCCGTGGAAATCTATGAATATATATATATATATACATATATATATATATATATATGTGTGTGTGTGTGTGTGTGTGTGTGTGTGTGTGTGTGTGTGTGTGT